AACAGGCCATCACCGATTGGTCAAGTGGTCAAGAAGCCAGCTGTTGTTGCAAACACTGGCTAAAATTCAGGACAGCAGCTCTCAACCCATCCGATCCACACTGGGTTTTAGCAGGATCTCTCCTTCACTCGCTACTTCCAGCTGACCTTGCACTCATCGCTGAAGGATCCTTGCTAGACAAGGTATTCCCATCCAAAAAGGAATACCATACTCAATTGAAGGCAGGTCTACACAGTTGGACAAAGCGCAACGGCCTCCCACCAATGCCAAATCAGGACATCTCCGACTTGTGTCACAAATTGTGAACTGAACATTCTATGAATGTCACGTGTCACATCACAAAGTCCTCCATCACCAGACATTTGAAGGTGCGATATTCCAATGTGAAGACAAGCAGGCCTCATCTCTACGGATCTATTGTCCTTGTTTCTGCTACCAGGCCATTGACAATACTTTCCAAGATCCGTCCATCTTTGAACCTGTTGCTCAAGATCCAGCGACGATTGTCACGTCCCTTGTTGGCCTTCTTCAACAACAACACAGCAAAGCATACCCATGGGCAATTGGCCCTGGACGACAACTCCCAGCAGGGTACATTCTGGCCAAACGAAAGAAGGCGTTCCAAAGTGGTCGACCCATCATATCCTTTGCTGATTCACCCTTTCGACCTACGCTCAACATCTTGGCCAGAATGATCGTTCAACTCATCCTAGTGGCCTGTCCAAACCACGTCCACGTCGCTTCTGGTGATGTCTACACACTACTTGAGATCCTTCGATCTGCACCAGTTGACGCCAATTTGATCCTGGTCAATCAAGATCTAGCTGGATTCTTCACCAGCATTGACCAAGAACGCTTTATTGGAGCCTGGTTCATGCTCTTAGACTTCCTTCGGCCCAAAATGGACGTCTCTGACCATGAGGTCTTCTTAGTCTATCGTGGAAAATCCAACAATCCGGGTGACACCATCAAGGGTCGCACATTTCGTCGACTCAACGTCACTCGAAAGATTATCATCAAGGATGTACCCGGACTACTTACCACGGAACTCAACATGCAAACATTCGCCTTGGGTCAACGTTGCATTCGCCAATGCCGAGGCAGCCCCATGTGAAGTCCTTTATCACCAGCCTTTTGTCTTATGATTGTCTCCATCAGTGAACAAATATGGTCCATCAATACCGGTATGAGTTTCCTCTAGGACTTCAGGGGGGTCAACCCCGCTAAGAAGGACTGATTTTCTGGCACGAAAATTCTTCGGTTTTGATGAAAGGCTGCTTTTATCAACCCCCTCATTTTCTACAGAACAACTTTTGGAGACCTCTGAGTCGGAAGACCCTGATTTTCTGGGTAGCTTAAGTGCCCAAAATCCAGGAGCATAATTTTAGCATCTCTGGGAGGACGTTCCTAGATTTTCTAGTGGTCCCTGATTTTCTAGAGGGGCACTGGTAGGTCATTTTGTTTTGTTTTGTTTTTTTGTGTGGGTTGTCCTGGGCGACTATTTAGGGAAGATTAGGGAAGATATGCGTTTTCGAAAAGCTGGGTCGAAAAAATCGAAACCGCACACTGGGTTGATTTATCATGATTTATCCATCCAATCAATTCTCAAATAGCATTAACCCTACAACTGCATTTTCTCGACTTATTTCATGAGAGATGTGGCGCCTTGGTCGCAGAGGCGATTTTGGCAGCAGAATCGCACTTTGGGCTAGCCCAAATGAGGGTTTAATCAAAATTTAAGGGTAAAATTGTGGGATGGAAATGGGATGGAATTTCGATGAAATTCGAATAATTCGAAAAATTCGATGGGTTGGATGTTGGGCTTTAGAAAAAGAGAACGATTCCCCGGAAGTTGTTTTCAAAAATTTTGATTTCGAAATTTCAACATTATGCAATTCAAGCAGGGTGATGTTTTTCTAAGAAGAAATGCTATCCATAACTTCGAAAATGCACTTCTTGGGGGTTGCCATTTTTCTAGGGTACCTCAAATTGGTTTGATGTCTGTAGCTAGATTTTCTTGGGTCCCTAATTTATACAACATCCATTTTCTAGTAGAAAATCACAGGCCCCAACCTGACCCGGTGAACTCGTACAGGGATGTCCATCAACTTCAAACAAATCCTTTCCAATCATCACCTATTTATCAAACATATTCGATACGTCGACAATCGCCTCATTTTCGGAGACTCTCGTCTCAAGCAACTTCCCCCATAGGAAGTCCTCCTCGACGAAGGCTTCTATGGAAAACCCATCATCCTCGAAACTGAGCCAGACCAAGAATTTCTCGGTTTCATGCTTGAAACCCGACCTTTGGAACTCATCTTCATCGGCCCAACCAACATTTCCCAAGTCCTGTCACCATTATCAGCAGCATCACCACCGAAAGTTCTTCTGAGCGGTTTTAGATCTCGCTGTCATATTGTGGTCAAGGGTGCTTTTCCTGAATTTCGTGTTCGAAAAGGTCTTGATCAATTAATTCACCTCTATACTTTGACGGGGGTTCCCAATGAGGAACTCCAAACGATTTCAAGTGAGATTTTGACTCAGCATCAGAACCTTCAGCCGCATGAAAATAAGGCTTCCTTGTCTCGTTGGTTTTTCACCTTTTGTGACTTTCCCTTTTGCTGTTTTACTTGTTATTTCTTGTTTTTCATCACTTATTTTGACGTCAGTTTGCCTCAAACTCGGACCCATTTCACTTGCGTTTCAAACCAATTTCCAGTGGAACAGCACACCATGGAAAACTCCCATGGCCGTGAAATCCACTACCATTTGGCTCGGGCTCTTATGCATATGAATTACATCGCTGGCTTCCTTCCTCTCTTTGAACCATCCGTTGACTGGGACGATCATCCTCAGGATCTCTATGGACGTACCAACCGGGCACCTCACACGCTCGGCACCTTCATACCTTCGTGCCCATTCCATCGTCCTCATCAGTTCCCACTCTTGTCTCTCATGGAGGCATGCCGTCACATATGGTCCTGAATCCGGAACACAATCTACGTCCCCTTTCCATCCGTCGAGAGGTCAACCAATTATGAGACCACCACCCAGGCAACTACCCACCACAGGCAGGACACACTTCTTCGTCCAGCACACGTACACCTGCCTCAGAAACCTTCCCTCATACCACTACTCGTGACCCTGATGGCGATACTTCACATCCAAAGTCAAAATCGACAACTGCGGGGGACTCTCGTCCAAAGAAAAAACACCGATCAATTGTCACTACAACTGAATCCTCCGCTTTGCCGGTCATCTGTGATATCCCGCTAGACGGGTTCAACTCTGATAACTCTGAAGACGCCAATGTCAGGGATCGCTCCCCGTCCAACGCAGCTCCTGCTACGGCAACACCAATCACACATTCCACTGCGCCAGTAAACCACCCTCCTCAACCTCCAAATCCAGTACCAGACCCTCCTTCGATTGCGGCAAAATCAAGCTCCAAAGCCATCACATTCAAGATTCCCTCCATCACGTTGGACACCCCTCATGCCAATATCCGACCCTGGACAGATGCTGAAGATCAAGAACTCTGCAACATGAAGTATGAAGTATGACACCAAACCCCGCCCTTCGTGGAAGACGATCGGTCTCAGACTTCGTCGTGATCCAGAGGTTTGTCGAATCCGCTGGGGCCTTCTCAAACAGATGCCTGAACACGCGGTCCGTCATGAACCGGAGGCAGAGGACTAAACACCCAGGCCTAAAAGAAGACTATTGCTTTGCCGTTTCATTGCTCTTGTCATTGGTCATCTTTCATTGGTTTGCTGTGTGTTTTTACTTCTTTATTTGTTTTAATTTCTCAGCATGGCTCAACAGCTTAGCTACATTTCCATGACTCCCGATCACTCCCGCTCCCGTGATGACCCTCCTATGCCACATCCAGATCGACCTCATGACCCAACACGTCAGAGGTCCTGGAATTATACTCCGGCACTACGACGGACACGACGGGTATTGATCATCATAGATCTTGACCCAATCCAAAACCTGATGACTGAACGCTTCAGCGACATGATGCAAGCAACAACCTGTGAACACCTTCCCAACCTCTCTCAGAGTGAAGAAATGGCACTGTTCACTTAAAGCTTCTTATTGACCCCTGGTCAAATCCAAATCACGTCAATCGAGAATATTCTCTTCTACATCAGCCAGCATATCAACAACCCTTGGGGAACATACCTCGAACCAACCTCCATGGACCTTCGATGGAGCGATTGCACTGGCGATACTTTTGCTTTTCGTCCTCAACAAATCATCCGCCTTCTACGTGAACACCGCCCACACTGGACTGAGGCTCAAGAAGTAGGCATCTTCGATCGATTAGTTGATTTCACTAGTCCGAGTCAACCATATATCATGCGTCTCAGCTGCCATAAGGCTTTACCAAATCCAAACATGCTACCGTGATCGCTCTCAGGATTAAAACATGTGTGCGGCATCAATCTCATTCATGAATTGTCAGTCACATTGGCATCGTTGACCGTTTTGACCTTTCCGTAACAATTTGTTTCTGATACTCCCCTCTATTTTATATATGTTTGGCTCCAGACAGCAATATGACAAAGAGGGACTCCTCCACTGCTGATTTAGATTCCCCACGAAACCTCCGATTTGATTCCTGGTCACAGCCCATGAATCCTTATCGCCATCGTCATGCCTCCGAAGCCGCATCTTCGTCAGCTGCGGATTCCCCTTCACGACAGGGACTTCGTCTACCAGGCACACCAGCGACACCAAGCCACTACCCACCACCCCCTCAATTTGGCTATTCGTCATCGGCACCAGCCATTCCAATGCCAACTGCCAATCAAAACTGGCACCACCAAGGAGCGGATAGAGATGTCTCAACATCACCGGGTACTTCATACCCATATATTCAAAGAAGTCACTACATACCAATCCGGCACTCCAGTGCGAAGATTGATGATCACGGAGGTTGACAATCAAGGAACGGAACGCATCGTCAACCGCATTTTTTCTTCAATGGAATGATTGGTCATGTACGACCACGGGGAGGCGGCTATGTAGATAGCTGGGCCGAAGCCACCCGCCTATCAAATTACTGGCGCCGGTTTTACAACATTGACCAGGTCTATGAGGATCAATCTGGCTGGTATCCACAAGAGGATCAATCTGCCTGGCACCCACAAGACCATCAATACCATGGATCGCCTGACAATGCTGCCTTAGGTGGTGAGGATGCAGAAATCTCAGACCTGGCAGACGATACCTCAGTGGCAGTTGAAACAGGCCAACTGTCCGTTCCAAGCCAGATCAACCAACTGGCTACTGTCCTTTACAACGTTTCGATTGCGGATCGTGAATTCAATGCTCCGATCCTTGAGAAGATTGAAATTTCCCCATCGGATCCAAATGCCAATCCCATTCAGGTATGGTCAGCATCAGACCTATCCCATCTCTCAAGCCATCTTGCCATCACGGCAAGCACTCTGGCCTGGTTTTTTTCGCAATTTGAAGATCTCAGAATTTGGGATGTTTTTAAGTACATAATTCATTACGAATTTCGAATCAGTGCTAGTCACAGGGGTCGAAAATGGTGATCCACGATTGCCATACTGACGTGCCTTGAAGTCAAGGGTTGTCCCAGAAGGGGAAGCTGCACGGAGCGATCCGCGAAGGGAGCGGAGGCTCATGGGTCCAAAACATTCTACATGGCACAGGTAGGGAATGGTAGGGATTCAAGTTGCCAGGGGTCATTCCTAATGTTTTCTCCAGAGAAGAGTAGATTCTGGCCCAACATGTTCAAGCAGGTAATGTTCAAGCAGGTAACCTCGAGGACATCTCTGACATTTTGGACTAGATCTAGGCCATTTTCGCCTTTGGTTTCTGAATCCTTGATATGCTTCCAATTTCTGTAATTCATTTTGTTTCTGGCATTTTGATTTCTTGATCCGAGACCAGTAGACCGTATCAGAGCTTTGTTTCACGAGACTGTTGCGTCTTAAAAAAAAAAGCACTGCGGCAGCAGGGCGTGTGTGTGAACCATCTGAAGAGATGTAAAACTTCTACTTTTACAGTTTCCAAATTTCAGAGGCAGGGGGACCATCCATGTACTGTGAGCGATGGTCCAACGAAGCGGCCACAGTACATGCGGATTTCACGGCTGATCACCGTGACGTACCTGCTTTTTCAGGTCCATTTTCTGCATTGGGACGTGGCTAACCGGAGAACCACCATGCCGTTTTCAAACAACCTGTTTTCAACTTGTCCAGGAGGCAACGATTTGGTCAGATGAAATATTGCATCCAGCAGTGGCCTTGAAATACTTTCTTCGTGATCCTTCTCGGATCTGTTCATCAACCTTTTCCTGTCAGGTATAACTGGATTGTTTTTGCACGTAGGATGCATTCCACATCAGAATTCGCAAAGGTTGTTCTGAGCAAGTGTGTGTCCGTTTTGGCATGTTTTGGCGCTAATCATTTCCTTTGTAAATTCACTTTTCAAGGGTGCTCAGAAATACTTGCCACGCTTCCGCTGCCCATTTTGCGCTGGCTCTCTTGTAGGCCTAGCATCGCTTGTCGTAGTTTTTTACAAGATTATGACATGCGCAGGTTTTCTGGTTGTCTTTAACGAACCCAAATTTACAATATCATACCCGCAGTGTTGATCACAACTCTTCTAAAGTTGCACATGCGTTGTGAAGGTGCAAGCAGTGGAAATTCTCCAGTGCTTGAAGAATGCGCTGCGTTGGAGCCTCAGAGCATCTCGGGACACGCTGGCGCGGCGCGTCCCTATTGCAGCCAACTATAGCCCAATTATGCATGGTGGTGGGCGGTATGTCCATAACCCTTAATCTGGAGGAAGCCTTCCAGGAAACCATTTGACAGGAAAGGCACACAGAGGAAAAGACTATCGTGAGATTCTCGTGAAAGGCAAACCAAAGGAAAGACCGCAGAGGAAAATAGGGGAAGCTGAAAAACACCTGCATAGCCAGAACAAGTCTGGGGTGAAATCTTTGCATTCTGGTCAGCTGCTTATACAATCTTTTGTAGAAACCCTCCCTTGCACATCTTCACACAATCCACATGATTTTGGTGCTGTGGTTGGTGCAGTCGCTAGTCGCTTTTCTGCAGGCCACAGGTTTGAAGCTGTGCAGGAATATTTGGGTAAATGGGTCATCGAAGTAAGTTTAGAAGTCAAACTTCCGACAATATGGACAGATGAAAAGAACAGGTGGGAAGGGTCAGAGAAGAGAAGAGAAGAAGAAACATGTTTGAAGGAAGTCTCGCAGAATTGTTTCGTGATGTTGTCACCGTCGAAATTGTCAAGTTCAAAAACTGAGGAAGTCTCGCAGAATAGCTTCGTTTTCAAATGCAGATAGATAGATAGATAGATAGATACATAGATAGACAGATAGATAGGTAGATAGATAGACAGATAGATAAACAGAAAGACACATAGATAAACAGATATACAGATAGACAGATAGATAGACAACTGCAACTGCACTACACCACAGTAAAACTACAACTGCAACTTCAACTACAACTACACTACCACTACAACTACAACTTCAACTACACTTCAACTACAAGAACTGCAGCTACATGTTACAACTGCTAAAACCACAACAACAACATCAACTACAACTACAACTACAACCTCAAGTACAATCACTACAACTACAATTACAAGTGCCACTGCAAGTACAACTGCAACTACAACTACAACTGCAACAACTACTACAACTACATTACAACTGCAACTGCAACTACAGCTGCAACTACAACTACAACTTCAGCTATACTACAACTGCAACTGCAACTACAACTTCGACTTCAATTTCGACTACACTACTGCAACAACAATTACCACGACACTGCAACTACAACTTCAACTACAACTACACTACAACTACAACTACACTACAACTACAGTTACAACTACAACTACAACTCCCACTCCCACAACTATTGCAACTAATTACTAAAGTCATGACAATTACAACTACACCTCCTCTACGCTTCAACTACACTACAATTACAACAACTACAACCGCACCTACAACTACAGCTATAACATTACAACTTCAACAACATCAACCCCACTACAACTACAACTACAACTACTGCACTACACCACACTACATCCAGGAGTTGTGAGTGAGGCGACCACTGCAACCATTGCAACAGCTCCAACCACTTTTCGGTCCATCAGTGGATTCGCTCTGCCACCCATGCATCAAAACAACTCACCTCTCCTATAGTGTCCTATCCTTGAAACTTCCGCCACCGCCTTGTGCGGTATTATTGGTATTATGTCATATTTCGTAATGATATTGAATGACACACACACACACTGATATATCATTCAATACATGGTTTGGGTACCAGCCAGTAGCTCAAAGTCCTTTTCAGAGGCATGCCGCGTGCGTTGAATGGAAGCAACAGTGGCCATTGCTACATGTATGCAAATCCGCTTTGCACACTGAAACCGGTTAAACTATTTCTTGCCATTACTGAATTGGTTGTCGGAGGTTTTGCAGGGATTTATGTGGAGAAAAGCTGTCAACGCCGTACTTGGCAGATCATTGATCATCCCGGAACCGATTAGTGAACGCTAGGCATCTTTAATTTCACCTGTACTTTGGAATCAAAATTCCGGAGGAGTTGCGAGATGAGATTGCATCATTGTTCAATGCTGGGAAAACTAGGAAAGATGCTCTCATGAAGGCTTCCGATATCCGACTTTGCATTGCATCGGGAATCAGCTGCTCAGGGCCCATCTCCAAGGACAACAACAAAACTAGGATACTAGCAGAAATCAAGAGACTTTTTTGGGTTGATTGATGATAGATGGGTAGATAGATAGATGGACAGGCAGACAGACCGACCGACCCACCCACCCACCGACGGACAGACAGAGAGATAGACACAGAGAGAGATAGAGAGATTAGAGAGATAGAGAGATAGAGGGATAGAAAGATAGATAGGAATAGATAGGAATAGAAAGGACTAGATAGGATTAGGTAGGATCAGAAAGATAGATGGATAGAGGCTTATATACTGTGTATATATAGTGTCGATAGTGTATGCATGTGTTTCATTCTGCTTATTGTACAGACACAAAGCAGGGCAAGAAGTACGGGACGTTTGGCAAACCGCGGCATGCGGCTCGGGCGCTGGCACGTAGGAATGTCAAACCAACCAGCCCCGGTATCGAATCGTTTACAGCTGGCACATTAGCATCACCTGCACAGACATAGGTTGGCAACCCCAAACTGGATTCAGATAGACAAGATGCCCTGTTAGAGTTGTAATTTGCAACAATAGTTGGACAAAAAACAAACTCTTGTGCCGCTGTGCCTCATGAAATATGACCATGACCTTGGATAGCATTCCTCTCAGGCTGTGGTGCGGTGGTGCTATAGCGCGTTGTCTCGTCCTGCAGCGCAGCCAGGTCCGTCCGCATTACACCAGTGTTCTACAGGTTGGTCCAAAAATATTGTGAGAAAATGTGAGAAACATTCTCCTAAGTAGGATTCCTCAAGCGGTTTGTATTTCTTTGGAGGCATATTGGCTGGAGGGACCTGTTGGCGGTCTACTTCCTGCTCTTCTTGAGGCGCTGCACAGACTCAACTATTTGATACTGTTTAGAGGTGCAGTGCATCAATTTAGCCGATTCCTCCCAGTGACATGCCTTCAATATGCTTCCCCCTTCACCCCCCCCGAAAAAATACCGTCGTGACAATAGGCGGTTTGTGTTCGGAAGGCACTGCTGGCACCCTTGCTTTTCCTTCTCGGCTATCGGGCAATGCGTCGATCAGCAGTTGCTATATGTTTGGTCCTAGGCTGAGTAGTGCCATGTAGTGATATGCTGCACTTGCAAGAAAAGATCAAATGTTCATTCGGGCATTTCTTTTATTTTGATTTGAGGTTTCCATTTTGGTGGCCGTTTTTGCGAAGCGGAACAATCTCAATATTGCCGAGCGCTTGGATGACCTGACCACCTTCCCTATCTCTTCAGGACAATCAAAACAGCAACGATTCAGAGTGCTAGGCAGAAGAGGAAGATGCAAACATCTTCTTTACTGCGGCACACTGCTTTGAGTTTCTCTCCGCGGTGCCTGTTAGATCCTGTTGGTTTCTTTGTAAAATGATGCCACGTTGCTTGTCCCTGCAGTTGTTGCTGTCCATGGCCGCGTGATTTGCAGTTGCTGTATGCCGGCCGCACAATGCTACTTGACAATGCTCCTTGGCCAAAACTGTTGGTGTTTGTACTGAGGGCTGTTCCGCGTTTGTGATTTGGCTTTAGTGATGCGCCATGGTATTGACTGCATTGAATTGAAGATGCGCCGTTGCCTTTGTTGCTCCCATCCACTGGATATGGTTGAACTGCCTGATTTTTGGTCTTCGACGAGTGGTTGATGGAATTCGGTCACAGTACATCATGCTAGGTCTGACAGAATTTCCTGGCAGTCTCATTTTGAGAACGAAAAATAAAATGAATTGGGTTGGTGGGCAGATTGGGTCCACAACCCTTTGCCGTGTAAGGATGGTCAGTCGTCCCTGACATTCACGTGTTTGCCTCAGCTACACCAGCTACAGCAAAGAAATTAGCGTGCACGATTGGCCTGATTTGATTCCCACATTGTAGCGGCAGGCACTTGATGATGATCATTCAGCAGAGCTTAGCAGCGTATTTCTGGCTGCAGGCCTCCCATGCGCACCGTGTGTGCACAGCTGATGGGCCCACTTCATCATGTCAAGACAGAATTCTATATTAAATACTTGTAGCTGTAGCTGGAAATCTGAATTATACCCACCTGCACAATAGACATCAATAGACCAGCCGGTAAGGGGGGAACTGAGAGCACGTTTCCGGTCTTTTCCTGTCATGTTTGTCATTTCTCGTAAGAGGGTATGGTTTGGTACTTTCATGCAGAAGCGGTTGACACAGGGGGTGGGTTTGCCCTTCGGTCCCAACAACCTTAAATGGGTAGGTGAATGCAGGTAGCTTTGCCTAAGCTTTGTTCATCTTTATTGCTTCTCGGATCCATTCCCCTCCTCCCCACCCTGCAACAAACCTAAATGGTGAGTGCCATTTACCGTTCTTCCCCTGATGGATTTTTTTCTCTGTATTGACCATCTTCCAGACACAGGGCATTCCAAGTCAATTTTGGTTCTCTTAGGCTTTGGATTTATGGTTCCGAGTAATGCCTGATGGATCCTGATGGTCCCAAGTGATCCTACTAGTACGTCCACCCATGTCGAACTTGGCGCCACCATATTGAGAGACAAGTTTGAGCGCACTCACGGGCACAAAAAGGTTGGGCCACCCGCCTGATTCTACGGGAAGACATGGACAACCAAAATCCATAAGAATTTCAAATTCAGCTACAGGCCTTCGAGCCAGACACGAATTTGAATGGGTGTGGGTTGTCATCTCAGTTGGTGCTGGCTGTGGCTTTGGGAGGATATGCGCAGTATAATATATATATATATATACACATAACATTATCTAATTTTAATTATATATATATACACAATATATATATATATGTGTGTGTGTACATATATATATATATATTTTATATATATATATAGAGGATTTGAGAACGAAGCTCTGAGGCTTGGGATTTTTGCCATTCAGATCAGCTGTCTTGGACAGCTGTGCGCGTGCGCCAAGATTTGCTTTTTGTTTCGGATCCTCACACTCCCATTCTGCAATGCTTTGCAGCCTTGGATCACGAAATGCTATGACATCAGTTCCAATCATGTGCAAGTTCCGTGCTCAAAGCAGACGATCCAGACCTTGCCCTGCGTGCTCATAGCAATGACATGCTTGGCCTGAACAGACACCCTGACATAATATGACATACATACAAGACATACTACGACATACCATGACATGCCATTTTGGGTGGGACCTTGCCTCCTGTCGGGCAGTTGGGTGATGTTGTTTGTGCGAGTTCGGTCAAACTGGTCAGATTTGTCTTGGAAGTTGTTCTTCGCACTTTCCTCTCAGCAACGAAGGTATTATGCCTCTAGATACATCAGCGGGACTACATTTACATTATCTTGGATTATACTTTGCATATATATATATATATAAATAATCGAAGGAAGTTTAGAAGTCAAACTTCCGACAATATGGGCAGATGAAAAGCAGAGATGGGGAAGAGGCAGAGAGAAGAGAAGAGTAGAAGAGAGAAGATGATAGAAGAGAAAGAGTCAGAAGAAAGAAGGTGCAGATGCGCGAAAAGGTAGGAAAGTCGCGAAGCGCTGTGTTTTTCCAATGATTTGTGGCTCCGGAGGGTCGAAAAGTAGGCCCGCTAAAGCGGCGGGTGCGGAGCCATCTGGCCAGATGAGAGATGAAAAAGTGCACGCCGTTGTGGCGCGAAGCACATTTCCAAGTCAACATGTACAAAACACACCAGAGTCGGAGCACTTTTGGAGGTTGAGATGTCGGAAAAGTGCACCCAGTTGTGGCGCGAAGCACATTTCGAAGTCAAAATGTACAAAACACACCATTCTGAAGTCAAAATGTACAAAACACACCATTCTTGGACCACTTTTGGAAGTTGAGATGTCGAAAAAGTGCACGCCGTTGTGGCGCGAAGCACATTTCGAAGTCAAAATGTACAAAACACACCATTCTCGGACCACTCTTGGAAGTTGAGATGTCGAAAAAGTGCACGCCGTTGTGGCGGGAAGCACATTTCGAAGTCAAAATGTACAAAACACACCACGTTCGGACCACTTTTGGACATTCAGATCCCGTTCCGCGTGGCAGGCGCAAGCGATTGTGCACCTTGTCAAAAGTGAGCAAAACGTGAGGGTTTGTGGCATCTCCAAAAAGGATGGCAGGCATGGGACATTTGAAGAGGATCTGCAAAGATGCATTTTCCGTGGCAGGTGCAGTACCAAAGACATGTTCATCAGAGATGGATGAAATAGATGAGACAGATGATAGATAGAGAGATAGATAGCTAGTTAGATAGCTAGAGAACTAACTAGATAGATAGATAGATAGATGATAGGTAGATAGATAGATCGATAGATAGATACATAGATAGATCGGTAGGTAGGTAGGTAGGTAGGTAGGTTGATAGTCAGAGAAAGAGAGAGAAAGAGAGAGAAAGAGTGAGAAAGAGTGAGAGAGATCAACCACCTTTCGATCCATCAGTGCCTTCGCTCTGCCATCCCTGATTCACAACAACCAAGCTCTCCTATAGGTTTCCTATTTTTTGAAACTTCCGCCACCGCCTTGTGCTGTACTACTGGTATATGTATGTATGCATGTATGCATGTATGCATGCATGTATGTATGTATGTATGTATGTGTGTGTGTTTATTCCAGGTAGTGCCCGGCACGCGCCGGGGCGGAAGTTTCGAAAATAGGGCATGGCTATAGGAACCAGTTTGCTTATAGGAATTGTTGGTGAGCTGGAAAGAGGTGAATTGAATGAATGAGGTGAAGAAAATGGATGAATGATTGAATTGAATTGATTTGAGTTGAATTGAATTGAACGGAATTGCATGAATGAGTGAATGAATGAACGAATGAAAGGAAATAGAATGAAATGAAATGAAATTAGTGAAATGAATGAATGAACGAACGAACGAATGAATGAATCAATGAATCAATGAATCAACGAATCATCTTCCAATAGTGCCCCGAGACCCCCAGGTTTTTAACATTTTCAAGTGGGAATCAAGCTCTCGCTACAGTCTCGTACATATTTTGCCGACCTCATCTTCCAAAAGTGCTCGGAACGCGACAGTTTTTTAGCATTTTCAAGTGGACATGCAGCTCTCGCTACAGTGTCGTGCACCTTTTGCCGACCTCGATCATCTTCCAAAAGTGCTCGGAACCCGACAGTTTTTTAACATTTCCAAGTGGAAATGTAGCTCTCGCTTCAGTCCTGTGCGCATTTTGTCGACCTCGTCTTCCAAAAGCGCTCCGAGACTGAGAGTTTCTTTGCGAATTTTATGTGAAATCGAGCTCTCGCTACAGTCCTGTGCACTTTTTGTCGACCACTTTCCACGATCGAACCGCGCAACCGCAGAAACAGAGACCATCCTTTTGCGGCGGCCACTTTATCCGAAAAAATCGGTTTGGCGCCCGAGAGCGTTTTCAAGCCTGAATTCACGCGTTCCCGATCTCTCACACTTCCCAACTACTTATATACATGGTGATGTGGTTGCCATGATGATTGAGGTGATGATGTGGTTGCCATCATGGTGACAGAGCTAGCCATGACAATCGTTCGTAATTTGGAGGTTTCCTAACTAAACTTCCTTTGATTTTAAAAAGATATATATATATATGTATACGATTGTATACGTATATATTTACATGTTTTATGACGTGTTATATATATCTCTATATACATATTATATTTATATTATACATGTGCGTTGTTTCATAAGTACATATACACATATGTGTTGATATATAGACATATATACAGTATGTATGTTTACCAGAATAGGCTAATTATATGCATTTATATAATTCAGTCCATTTTGAGCAGTTGCAGATCACGCAGAATGCCTCCACCGATGGAGCAAAACCTATATAGTATGATCTGTTTTAGTCAGATGAAAATGGGAACTCCTCCAGACGTCCTTATATTGCTACTTGATGTTTTCAGGTACATAGCTGCAGCAAGCCTGTACGTCATGTGCTGCCCTTACTGGGTACCAGCCCTTTAATGCGCATTTAGGGTACAATCAGTCCACTCTTGTTGAATCAACTTGAATTCAGTGCTGTGTGTGCGATTACTTCTCCGAAGTCTCTCAAGGTTTGAAACCCACGAAGTACCTGTCCATGTGAATATTTGAGCCCATCTCTATCCGACTCTATCCTTGGTCATCTTTGAATCATCTTTGCGTCTTAGACGCAAAGTCAACAGTCGACTTAGTATTGTCGTGCGGCCTAGAGACCATCCTGCTGGGCACGCGCAGATGTGCAGAAGATTCACTGTACAGCTTGCGGTCCGCTACGTAGCCGCTGCATCAACATGATTCAACATGTATCAAATTCATGGGCAGTATTTGGTATTTGGCACATTTTGACACTACATATTCAACAGGCCTTCGGACAAATTAGCGGCAAAAGTGTCTTCGGTGTGTATTGCACTTTGCAAAAACCGCGGATTTTTGCTCGAATCATGAATGTAAGTGTATATGCATCAGGATTAGACTTCTTGTGGTGTGACCGTGCCTTTTTCGGCTCTGCATCGTGAAACTTTTGCAGAGAAGCAAGGTAATACATGGTCACGCGGCATCTTATCTTCAAGAGCAGTGTTGGTGTGGGTGTTAGCAACTAGGCAACAGGAAGCCGCTCGTGTTAACACGGCCCAGGGGATCCTCTTGTTTGTGTCCATTTACAAAAGAAATGCCAGAAAAACTGGCACCACGTCATCCCATGAAGCACTTGTGGCATTTTGTCACATTTTGTCACATTTTGTCACATTGTTGACATCAAGCATTGAGGGTTGAGCCAATCTTGGAGCATCTTGGAGCGTCTTTTTCTTTTTCTTTGGAGGAGCGGGATGGAGCGGGATGTGAGTGCTGTTCTGCCGTGCCAGAGTATGGCCGAGTTCATTAGTTTTCGTACGTTTGCTCTGGATTATATTGATGGCACTGTAACACGGACAACACAGGAAGATATGATCAAAGGAAGTTGGGAAGCAATCTTCCGAGTTGCGGATGAAGTGTAGCGCAGCAACAGTACATCACATCACAATACACCACAGCACAATACATCACATCACAATATTAATTTCACATCACAATACATCACATCACAACACATCACATCACAATACATCACATCACAATACATCACATCACAATACATCACTTAACAATACATCACATTATATACACTATTTATTTCACACCACAAGACACCACATCACAATACATCACATCACAATATACCACTTAACAATACATCAATACATCACATCACAATACATCACATAACCATACATCACATGACAATGCATCAAATAACAATACATGACTTAACAAAGCAATACATCACGTAGCAATACATCACAGAACAAGACTGCTGCAAAACGCATTGTACTTGCTGCATGACTGTTGCATGGGACTCGATGAAGGGTACCTTGTGTGTGCGGCGGCTGCGGTTTGGATCGTTTCAACGCGAAATCGGTTCCCCCTTGGTGTTCTGCAACGCGGGGATGCGAATCGCATTGTAATGGCTGCATGGATGTGTACGTGGTGCTGCAAAACGCATTGCAATGGCTACATGGTAATGGCTACATGAATGTTGCATGGGACTTGTGCTGAGGAGGAAGCCGGAGCACGAAACCGTGCGTTTTTCCGTGTAAAGTGGCTGCAGGCGGTGATGAAGGGTACCTCCTGTGTGCGGCGGTTGCGGTTTGGATCGTTTCAACGTGTAATCGGTTCCCCCTTAGTGTTCTGCAACGCGGGGATGCGAATCGCATTGTAATGGCTGCATGGATGTGTACGTGGTGCTGCAAAACGCATTTTAATGGCAGCATGATAATGGCTACATGAATGTTGCATGGGACTTGTGCTGGGGAGGAAGCCGGAGCACGAAACCGTGTGTTTTCCCGTGTAAAGTGGCTGCAGGCGGTGATGAAGGGTACCTCCTGTGTGCGGCGGTTGCGGTTTGGATCGTTTCAACGTGTAATCGGTTCCCCCTTAGTGTTCTGCAACGCGGGGATGCGAATCGCATTGTAATGGCTGCATGGATGTGTACGTGGTGCTGCAAAACGCATTTTAATGGCAGCATGATAATGGCTACATGAATGTTGCATGGGACTTGTGCTGGGGAGGAAGCCGGAGCACGAAACCGTGTGTTTTCCCGTGTAAAGTGGCTGCAGGCGGTGATGAAGGGTACCTCCTGTGTGCGGCGGTTGCGGTTTGGATCGTTTCAACGTGTAATCGGTTCCCCCTTAGTGTTCTGCAACGCGGGGATGCGAATCGCATTGTAATGGCTGCATGGATGTGTACGTGGTGCTGCAAAACGCATTTTAATGGCAGCATGATAATGGCTACATGAATGTTGCATGGGACTTGTGCTGGGGAGGAAGCCGGAGCACGAAACCGTGTGTTTTTCCGTGTGAAGTGGCTGCAGGCGGCGATGAAGGGCACCTCCTGTGTGCGGCGGTTGCGGTTTGGATCGTTTCAGCCTGTTCTGCAACGCGGGGATGCGAATCGCATTGTAAGGGGTGCATGAATGTGTGCGTGGTGCTGCAAAACGCATTGCAATGGCAGCATGAATGTTGCATGGGACTTGTGTTGGGAAGGAAGCCGGAGCACGAAACCGTGTTTTTTTCCGTGTAACGTGTTGCTGCATTGCGGTTTGGATCGTTGAAGTATTTTGTGCAAGCTTTGTGGTACAAAGTAGTACTGGGAGGTGCTTTGTGCAAGCTTTGTATCACAAAGAAGTACTGGGAAGTGCTTTGTACAAGCTTTGTAGTCCAAAGTAGTACCAGGAAGTGCTTTGCGCAAGCTTTGTAGTACAAAGTCGTACTGAGAAGTGCGTGGTGCAAGCTTTGTAGTACAAAGAAGTACTGGGAAGTGCTTTGTGCAAGCTTTGTATTACAAAGTAGCACTAGGACTAGGAAGTGCTATGTGCAAGCTTTGTAGTACAAAGTAGTACTAGGAAGTACTTTGTGCCAGTCTTGTAGTACAAAGTAGTACTAGGAAGTGCTATGTGCAAGCTTTCTAGTACAAAGTAGTACTGGGACGTGCTATGTGCAAGCTTTGTATTACAAAGAAGTACTGGGAAGTGCTTTGTGCAAGCTTTGTAGTACAAAGTAGTACCGGGAAGTGCTTTGTGCAAGCTTTGTAGTACAAAGTCGTACTGGGAAGTGCGTTGTGCAAGCTTTGTATTACAAAGAAGTACTGGGAAGTGCTTTGTGCAAGCTTTGTAGTCCCAAAGTAGTACCGGGAAGTGCTTTGTGCAAGCTTTGTAGTCCAAAGTAGTACCGGAAAGTGCGTTGCGCAAGCACAAAGTAGTACTGGGAAGTGCTTTGTGCAAGCTTTGTAGTACATAGTAGTACTGGGAAGTGCTTTGTGCAAGCTTTGTAGTACAAAGTAGTACCAGGAAGTGCTTGCGCAAGCTTTGTAGTACAAAGTCGTACTGGGAAGTGCGTTGCGCAAGCTTTGTAGTACAAAGTAGTACTAGGAAGTGCATGTGCAAGCTTTGTAGTCCCAAAGTAGTGCCGGGAAGTGCTTTGCGCAAGCTTTGTAGTACAAAGTCGTACTGGGAAGTGCATGTGCAAGCTTTGTAATACAAAGTAGTAATGGGAAGTACTTTGTGCAAGCTTTCTAGTACAAAGTAGTACTGGGATGTGCTTCATGCAAGCTTTGTAGTACAAAGTAGTACTGGGAAGTACTTTGTGCAAGTCTTGTAGTACAAAGTAGTCGAAGGAAGTTTAGAAGTCAAACTTCCGACAATATGGACAGATGAAAAGCAGAGTAGGGGAGAGGCAGAGAGAAGAGGAAGATTAGAAGAGAGAAGATGAGAAGAGAAAGAGTCAGAAGAAAGAAGATACAGATGCGCGAAAAGGTAGGAAAGTCGCGAAACACTGTGTTTTTCCAATGATTTGTGGCTCAGGAGGGTCGAAAAGTAGGCTCGCTAAAGCGGCGGGTGCGGAGCCAGCTGGTCACAGGAGCGATGAAAAATTGCACGCCGTTGTGGCGCGAAGCACATTTCCAAGTCAAAAGGTACAAAACACCTCAGCGTCGGACGACTTTTGGAAGTTGCGATGTCGAAAAAGTGCACGCCGTTGTGGCGCGAAGCACATTTCCAAGTCAAAATGCACAAAACACACCATGGTCGGACCACTTTGGAAGTTGAGATGTCGAAAAAGTGCACGCCGTTGTGGCGCGAAGCACATTTCCAAGTCAAAATGTACAAAACACCAGGGGTTCGGACCACTTTTGGAGGTTGCGATGTCGAAAAAGTGCACGCCGTTGTGGCGCGAAGCACATTTTCAAGTCAAAAGTGTTAAAAACTGACGGTCTCGGACCACTTTTGGAGGTTCAGATGTCGAAAAAGTGTTGAAAAAGTGCACGCCGTTGTGGCGCGAAGCACATTTCGAAGTCAAAAGTGTAAAAAACTGGGGGTTTTGAGCCTTTTTTGACGTGAAGAGGTCGAAAAAGTAGACACTGATTAACTTAACTAACTTGACTAACTTAACTAACTTCACTAACTTAACTACCCTAACTTCGACGACAACAGCAACAGCAACAGCAACAACAACAACACCAACACCAACCACAACAACTACAACAACTACAACTACAACAACTACACGACAACTACAACTACAACAACTACAACTACAACAACTACACGACAACTACAACTAGAACTACAACAACAACAACAACAACAACAACAACAACAACAACAACAACAGCAACAACAACAACAACAGCAACAACAACAACTACAACTACAACTACACAACTACAACTAGAACTACAACTACAACAACTACAGCTACTACAACAACAACAACAACAACAACTACTACTACTACTACTACTACTACTACTACTACTACTACTACACCTACACTACACAACAACTACAACCACACAACAACTACAGCTACAACTACAACAACAACTACACTACTACAACTACAACTACAAAACAACTACATCTACAACTATATGACTGCAACTACACTACACTAATTACATTACACCACAACTACAACTCCACTACGCTACAACTACAACTACAGTTGCAGTACATCACACTACATCCAGCAGTTGTGGGTGAGGTGACCACTGCAACCATTGCAACCATTCCAGCAAACACAACTCCAACCACCTTTGGGTCAATCAGTGGATTCGCTCTGCCATCCGTGATTCACAAGGTTTCCTATTCTGAAACTTCCGCCACCGCCTTGTGCGGTACTACTGGTACTGGGGAGTGCTTCATGCAAGCTTTGCAGTACAAAGTAGTAGTGGGAAGTGCTATGTGCAAGCTTTGTGGTACAAAGTATTTTGGGAAGGCTTTTCTGTGTAAATGCATTTGTTCTGTGTCTCAAGCTTCTGTGTGCACAAGCTTTCTGCGCCCAATGTTTTTGTTGTGCAAGATACTTCTCTCTGACAGTAAGAGCTTTCTGGCGTGCAGAACAGCAGAGATGAGTTGAGACGAACTTCGAGGAGATGAGAAAGGTTTGTCAGTGCTCGGATGAGATGAAACAGTTGAGAAGAACTTACTTAGATGACATGTGAGAAGATGGGATGAGGTGAGAAGAGTTGAGATGAGGTGTGAAGAGCTCAAATGATTTGAGATGAGATGAAGTATCGAGTGTGAAGTGCAGGTGTGAAGTGTGAAGTGCGGGGTGTGAAGCGTGTACTGTGAAGTGTGAAGAAAGTGTGTGCTTGGCGTTGCATTGCACCGGGGCCGCGCGCAGGTCATGTTCTTGGACAACAACAGCGCAACAGGTTCACACAAAGCACGCACGCACAGGCCTGGCTTACGCACGGCGCATGCAAGTTCTAGGGTAAAACCCAAAGGCAACTTCCGCCCTGCCTCGTGCGGGCACTACTGGTAAGAAACAGCTACAGTTGCAGAATGTCAAACTGCTGAAATTCTCTGAATTAACGTTGCAGACATTTGCAGCAGAACAAGCGTGAACAAGTCGCGTGTGGCATTTTGTAGCCTCCATCAGGCAGAGACATTGCAAAGGTCTGACGAGTCATGGAGTTGTCACCTTGCCCAATTGAATTTGAAACTGAAGTGCTGGCTCCTCAGAAGGGCGGCTGTGTGGCATGACATGTCTCTGAGAGGTGCCAATATTACAAGAACAAAAGTTAGAGCCGGTCTCAAGGCTGTTGGCTAGAAATCATTACAAATCCGATGCAAGAAGGATGTTGAGAATGTCTTGCCACCGATGACAAGCGTATACTGCACAAAATAATATGCAACAATCTTGCACCAGTGTGACTTCAGTTTCCTATTTTCGTTGAAGGCTGTTGTACTGGTCCATTCTGATACGCTGTCAAACAGATGCCTGAAGCGACGCGCAAATCTTGTTTGCGTTGGTTTGTGCGCTTATCATTAGCATGTTTTCCTGCTCAACCGCGATTGATTTGTAGCATTGCAGCATGCAGTACGGCATTGTCTTTGCCACTGCAAACTTGCTAGATTTGTGACAGTTGCACCAGCAGTAGACAGAACTAGAGGTTTCTTTGCAGAGCGCGTTCTTGGTTTCTCAAATCAAGCCATTACTGGCAATTTTTGGCAATTCCTGTATTGTTTGTGACATCGTGTCATTTGTAGCTGGTTTTGCGGACACTTTGGACATCTTTGGACCTATTTAGGCAGCTCTTCAATATGAAATATATGAATAATGCATATACACCAAGGGCAAGGGCGGCAGAATTTCTGGTTCACATTTGACATGAGTTGGCATCATCGCACGTCCAATCTGACCGCTTTCAGGTGCTCCATGGTGTTCCTAGATCTTTGTCAGCTGTACATGGTTCACTGTGCCCCGCTGCGTAGCTGCGCCATGCTGCGCCAAGGTTGGTTTCAGGGTCCTTGGAGATTTCATCTGAAAAGCTTGCTCGCGGCCTGTCCTGGCTGGCAACTTCGCTCAAGGCCATGGACTGAGTGCAATCCGCTACAGCAACATGACTTGACATGACCACATAGGACAACTCTACGATCGCTTGTCAAACATGTGTCAAATGATGTCAAATGCATTACAGTACTACGCAATCTAATGTCACATCATGTCACATGTACTGCATATATATTCAAACTGCAGTTTTGAGAATAGTGTCCATTGAACATGTTTGCAGGAATTGTGGGTGTGTATTTGGACATTTCGTAGTTACAGTATCATCTCAGGGGACAAGAGTTGAGAACCAGAGCAGGAGCAGAACAAGATCTTGGGCAGCCTGTGTGGACAGGTGGATGCTCTGCAGGATGAGATGATGCTGTCATATGCTGTCTATGTACAATTATGTTATGTATATATAATTTATGTATATTTATGTGTATATATATATATATATTATAATATATATATATACATATATATATATATTACATATGAAAAATCATATGAATGTGTGTAGTATACATACATGGTATGTATATGTATTATGTATAACTTTTGTGCACGTGTCATTGTTTTGTCTATCGAAATTCTATCGCGTCTATGCTGTGGTGATATGCTGTGGTCAAGGCCCCTGCGCTGTACAGATGTGCTAGCACACTAGCATACACTAGCTGTGTTCTCCTGCGTTCTTCCTTGTTGAGGAGACTGCCTCGTTGCAGGGACCTTGGGAGGGTTCGAATTCAATGGCGGCCAACGAGTGCCAACGATAAATGCCATTCTAGTTCTTGACCGTGCAGAATCCAGCCTCAATGCAATCTAGGTACACATGGTTGTTGGATACTGTATAAGATATGTACTATCCCAAGCCAGCAACAGCCAGTCATGATTCAATGCGTTTGGACTCAGTTTGGACAGATTTGCACATTTGTGACCGAGATTACAAGATCTTGGACGCCAGGCCACGCACTGAACCCCAAGAGAGGAGAATGTCCATGAAGGCCGCCAGACAGCAAGCAACCTTGATAATGCTCGATCGTTGAATCGTTTGAATCAATATTGTACAGGTCACTTTACAGGTGACTTTGTGGGAATTTGATGGATTTTGTATGATTTTGTCAGATCATTGCATTCTGGCTAAGACCAGGAGGAACCCACGTGTTGTGTCACAGTATTTTTCTTGAAGTGGGCTATGAAGAAGACGAAATGGGATGACGGGTATGAAGAAATGGGATGACGGGATATGACGGGTATAAAAAAATATAGAAAATACCTTCGTGTATACACCAAGTTGAGAAGAAGAACTTCCTTCAGTGCAGTCAAACATCCGAGGATGATAATCAGCACTGAACACTCGCTAAGGATGAGATGCTTTCCATGCAGCTGAATGCACTCAAGCACGAGGCAGATTTTGTCAGATTGCTGACGTCGCTGCCTGTTTGATTTGCAGCTTCTGCTTGATTTTCAAGTATGACTCTGACGGTTTGAGCGACACTTGCAGACGAGTCTCTACACATGTTTCCAGACACGTCTCCAGTGTTCTTTCTCATAAGTTTCGATGTCTGCTGTCAGAAAGCACAAGAGACTACTTTTACTGTGTAGCATTTGAATAGTTTTTGCTTGCTGCCTAGGGGGGATGCAACGATAGTGGATTTCTGCTGTGAACACATGTGAACACACTATTTATTATCTATACTACACGATGTAGTTCTATATGTTCAACATGTTCAAATATGTTCAATCCAGAGTGTGTATATGTGTATATATATAGTATATACAGTATAGTTATATTATATATATATATTATATATCCACAAATTATAGGTGCAATTCCAAGTCGTGCACGTTTTTCTGGACTTGCACTTTGGTCTTGTATTTGACGTGCCCTGAGAAAATCATCAAGAACTTGATAACTACTGCCAAACCAAAGCACTGCAAACCTCCATTACCAGGACACAGTCCCAGAATACTAGCTTAGTGATGACATGCATTCGTCAGTACTTGGTTCATGATAACTTTATGTTAGCATAATATGGGTTCAAAAAGCACCCTTTGGATTCTCGGCCCGTTGTTCAGAAATATATTCCGAATAATTCTGAATACAATCCTGCAAGTACATATTGGTTTTATACCCCTGCAGCAGCCTGTACAGTACTTGTTCCGCCCTACCTACACAGAATTTTCTTTGCGTGGTGGCTGACCCCATGCCGTTCTTGAAGCGGAAATAGGCCCACAAAGTTTTGAAGTCTTAGACTCCGTGATGACATCAAATGACATCTTTGATTGTTCCTGATTATTCAATTTCAGGTGGGTGCGCTTCCGCAACCGGCGGATCTGGAGCGACAACGAGAGCGTATCATGGCAGAGGCTTGATCGGCTCTGAAGCGATGCGGTTTGAACATGTTTGAACGATTTGCAAAGCTTCCAAGGACAGCAGTGACACAGCGTGCACTGCGTGCCTACGTGTTTGAGACGTCGTTGACTTTTCAAGCGATGGCCCTGCAGGTGCAAAGTGTGTCGAACTCTTTGTCCGATCGGCAGAGGGATTCGAACGAGCGGCTTCAGAAGGATCTCGCAGACGCAACAGTTTGGCGCTCAGAAAAGCCAGACCAATTCGATTTCAGCATTCTCGGAAACAACAATCGTGTTCGTATCGTGTTCATATGTGTTCATGCATTTGCACCAGACTTCCAGCCCTTTGCCACTTTTGCTGTCGTGTGAACTTCCCTTGACTCCCGGGACGACTCCCTGCCGCAAGGCTGCTAGGCGTGGGTAGGATATGCATATGGTAGGATAGTCCAAAGGGGTCACCGCTTCCTGAGGAGCGCTACGTAAGATTCCTTAATAGCCTTAATAGAGTCCTTAATACCTTAAGAATCTTAAGAACTCTTGAGATTGGATGTTCCCTTTGATCGATTTGGAGAACCATTCAACGCGATGAAGTGCCAGGCGTCAAAGGTGTCTTTGTGAAGCGAAGCAGTAAGAACTTGGCCAAGACTTGCCACTCTGAGGAAAGCCTTTGCAGCCAACTGGGACGAATTGGTGATAGTGTGTCAGCTAGGCTCGGGAGCCGCAGTGAGACCACGGTGTTTGGTTGCAATGCAGCAAGCCTTTGCCATCATTGTGGATGTGTCCGGGTCTGTGGTGTTTTTTTAATTCTGTGTATTCCGTGTATACTATCTCTTTTCTTCTGCCAACTGTCACTTCGACTCGAGGCTAGTGGTGCTGGAAAGCCACATGGCTTCGCAGCCAGCTCTTGCTGCGGCTGTGGCCTCACTCGTTTGCCGTGCACACTTGTGTGCAATGTCAGAGTCAATGAACCGTGCAATTGAGCAGTGCCCAAAACCAAACCCATGCGTTGGTGACGTACGGGAATCCGTATCAATCGGTAGAAGCGGACAGAAAGTTCTGGGTGCTAAAGTTGTTTCTCTAGTCCAGTACAGAATGTACAGATGCCATCTCCAGAGGTGGGACTTGACCATGCTTCCCTATGGCCATGGGTATGCCACGGTTCCAATATGTTCCAATTCTTTATCCTAGGTATTACGTGCTTCCTGTAACACTCTGTAACTCTCTCATGCTAAGGCATCCAACCAATCCAGAGTTGAACTGCCAGGTTCTGGAGTGGAGGGCTCAGACTGCGCGGTTTGATGCTATAAATATAAAGTACGATTTTTTGATGATCTAAGTATATCTAAGTGATCTAAGTGATCTGTACATTGTATCGTTTGATTTTTTGCATCAGATTCAGTGATTATGATGCCCTTGACATTTGCAGTGCCATGTAGAATTTCAAGGTGCAGGCTCAAGTGCTGCCAGCGCTCGATCCTCTGTCAGCATCCAATGTAGCAGCTGACGACACAGAGGACAATTTTGGCAGGTTTTTTGATTGCAAGAGTCAGCTCGGGGATGCTGAGGAAGGATATATACATGTATATAAGAATTGTGATGCAATTGGAAGGCAGTGGATGAAGTTACATAGTTTTGTGATGTTTTGTGGTTCTTGTGCTTGATGGAGTCTATACGCAGTCAACATGTGTAGCGGTTCTAGCCATCAGTGGTGTAATGTGATAGGGGCTCTCACTGTTT